CAAATAAATCACGAAATATCTTGCAATCCATCTGCAATAGTTTAAGGTGTCAACGTAGTGATCATTCAGATAGATATCAGCAACGTTTTACCACATCAAGACTTGCTATCTATCATTTAGTCGCAATTCTATTTCATCACTTTCATTTTCCAGCGTATATAATTCTTCTGAACAATTTTATTCGACAACCTAAATACCCAAACACATCGAAAACGTTTATACTCGCCAATTACTAAATCATCCATCATAGTGAAAGCAGTAAGCTCGGTGCAGGACTCTCTTGCACAATAATTTACCAATCATCTTTGAATTGATACGATTAGTAAAATTTTACAGGTCGCGAGTCACAAGTTACCAATGTGGAGAAATTCTTTCCTATAACGGTAACGCGTTCGCAACAAGACAAAGATTTCTAAGTGAATTTTAAAAGTCATAGAAATATCTTGATCGTTCTATCCGCTGCAAAATTGTAAAATTATGAAAAACTGTTTTTGCAATAGGATCGTATAATCTATAATCGTCACTTCTCAATTCGCTAATTCTGAAATTATTACACAAGAGGGTTCAGGTAGTCAAATTCCGTCGGTTGCACCGCTGTCTCGAAAATTCCTCTGGTAATGCCACGGGACGAAACCTGCTCCCGCGAGAAGCCAACAGGCATCGATGATTACATCTTCCCAGGAAGTCGATTTGCATTGCAGATCCATGGAAAAGGGAGTTCGAGGGTACGAGCTACCGGTCGTAGAGGATCGTCGTCGTCGCCGAAATGGCGCAATGAAGATGGATGAAAACATTCGAGCGAATGGAAATGTCGCACGGTGGAATATTATAATGTCACACTGTGATTTATCGTCGGATTTGCTGCCGTGTTTTGTGTCTCGTGCTCGTAATGGCCAATAACGCGACGATGATGCGCGCAATTATCTCGCTGTTGCCCGTACGCCGCTTCCGAAGACAAGTACCGGGATAAGAACAAAAAGACGGACAGACCTCGCCGCGGTCGCAGCACCACTGACCTTGGTCTCGACCACGTCGATCCGGTGCAGAAATTGCGCCTGGATCCCTTTCGCGTGTGCACTTTCGGATCCGAATTGCTCGACTAAATTGCGCACCAGTTATCGATGCTTCATACGCCGTCGGCGAAACCCCTTCAGGGATATGCAAGAAACGAATTATACCGTGCGAGTTGATTTTTTATGTTATTTTCGCGATTGGTAGAATTTTAGAAAGAAAGTTTCGAAGGTGATTTTGACATAGAGGTTTAAGAACCGAATTGATGTATCAAAGCACTAAGAACCAGGCAATAGAATAATACGTGAAACTGGGTAAGTGCAACGTTATTAAGATTAAAAGATTTAAGTAATAAATATTGTGTAAAGTTAGAGGGAGAGAGTTACACGAGTCAGAGGCACGAAAAGTTTTCACAGTGCTAAGAAGATGGAATATTATAGCGTTAGAAGTATTTCAATTTCTTCGAACTTCGTAAAATTGTGCAATTTATATCTTTCCGAGATCGTACAACTTATATATCTATATCTGCTTGGTACGAAGCTGCAAATTAAAAATCAAAAAATTTTATGAAAGGAACTCTCATAATAATTCGCGTGAAGTTCGCGTAAATTTGGTTAAATACGAGATTTTTCTTCGAGCTCTTAACAACGTTTATCTCCCCTAAGCACAACTATCCACGTAAGAAATCACTCGAGACTCCTGATATCGTAACACTTTTAACCACTTTATTTGACCTCTAGCCCCGCCAATAAGGATAAAACTCAGAGAGCAACTTAAACAAGATTGACTTAATAGGTTTACAATTAAGAAAGTTCCAACTCGTCTGAAAACTTCTTGACCTAATACTTCCAGGAACACATTATCTGTGAAACGATATTAAAAAGTCTCGTTCTATCTTCCCGCTAAATCTAACCCCTCACACCATATCAATCAACCCTAACAGCCTAAAACCTTAAAAAGAAATTTCGTTATCAAACATCCAATTATTTTTCCCCTCTGTAGCTCCAATCTTTCCTCCGATCGTGAGATATAGTCGTGAGATTCAACGATATTACGAGCTTCACACGTCACGTTGCAATATTTTTGATCGTTCGTGAAAAGCTCGTACGTACACAGCTCGTTGGACACCAATTTTCGACGAGCAACATTCCGATCGTTATACGCGGTCAACGTTGCACCGACATTGAACCAGTGCAATGCTGCAATGCAGGTGGACCAGCCGGTGCAGCTGGAAGATGCGTAGGCAGTTGGAGGCTGGAGCCACTGTCTACCGCAAATCTCTCGCGGCTCCCGCAGATGTTATCTTTACCGCAAGATATCCAACGATTCTGTCTCCCTTTATGCACGAGCTAGCTCGCAAGAAATCATCTCGCTCGTATGGAATAGGAGGAGACGGAGACGAAGAAACGGGCTGGGCGGAGAGACACAGGGACAACGAGGATATAGGGAGGCCCAGTAGGGATAGAAGAAAAGCAGAACGTCGTTTCACAACCCTTTGTTCCGTGGATGCCGGATGCCCGAGCGTTGGATTATTTTTCTCACGGTGAATAATTCATCCTGACAAATGGGACGGGTGCGCGCGACCCGTCGTGGCTCGTCGTTCTGCTCGTTTTTCTAATCCGCTTTTTGTAACGTATCAATTCGAGTATTACATCGAATAACCGAGGATCGTGGCCACGAGGAGTCGCGTTAAATTTCAACGCGCGCTAGTGCAGGATCGTTAGAAATGACTCTTTGAGAATGGTTCTTTAACAGGTGGCGTGTTTGTAATCTTCAGGGTGATTGAACCCTTTTCGGTCGTAATTTAAGTCCTAATTAGATTCTACCGGGATCTTTTACATTGCTTTTTGCGTTGAAATGGTAGACGATTCTTCGATACTTGAAAGTTTACTTTTATGGCAAGTTTTTGACAACTGAAATCTTTTTACTCGTATTAGTTTTTAGATGGAGGAAATTTTGTGCTCTTTTTACGTTGGAGTTTGTTTGCTAAATTATTTTCACGTATTAAACTAGCACAAGGTTGCGTTTGTATTATTTAAGAGGAATTCAATTATTCGACGATTTAGTCTGAAATCTTTTGAAAATTTCTAGTAAAAATACCGAAGAAATATTACACATATTTGCGAATTACATTTACATTGATCAGTATAACAGCAGAAAATTCCCTAATAGACAGAAATGAAATTGAATTCCGCAGTTTAACGTCAGAACCAATTTCGCAAGGACGGCCATGAATCACGGCAGTTTCAAGCAGTTTGTCTCTAATCTCCGATTTCAATTTCATCGAGAGACAGGCGAATGTACAATACTGCGGGCTAATTTAAATCAAGTTCGCGGGAAATGTTTGATCAATGAAATAAAAGTTTGATTGCGATCAGGCAACGTTTGCATCGAGAAAAAACGATTTAACAATCTTTTCTACTTAATAAACTATTTTCTGTCGATAATCCGTTGCTCTTTTCACAGAAACTTTAATAACAGAGATATCGTATCGCTTCGAATGCGAAAACGAAAAATGTTAAAGTTGTTGAAGTTGTTTTCAGATCTTCCAATTTTGGTAACGATGATTTCATATTTCTCTTTGTAAGAATCTCAATGTCATATCGTGATATTTTTGCAGTATAAATCATCGTTTTAATCTTCCATATATTATGGAAGTAATGTATGTATGTAATATTCCCAAACGTGACTGTATAATTAATTAAGAAATTCCGTCGATTAAAGAGAAATAAACAGGTATTTACAAATACAAAATCGAAAATTAATTAAAAGAACTTCAACCGTATTCAGTACTCGATTTAAAAAATACACGATCTTACATACGTATGGAGATTTGCTCGCAATTAATTAATACGCGCTTAATTTTTGTCATTTGAAGAATCCACTCCCTAAACAAAATATTCCGGATAAATACGAATATGCTGTATCACGATCAGAAAGTAATATATACGATATTATTTTCAATACTTGTCGTCTTAGTTTTGGTCGAAAAACGTACTTCCGAACACTTCCTACGGAAAATTAAAAAATAACTTAATTCTGCTCATAAATCTAATAGCTAGAAAAAATCGCAAAGAAGCACACAACACAAACTCAGAACCAAAAAAAGTTGCAAAACATTTCCTTCTCCGACCATACACAGGTACGCGGACGTAGAAGCAGGTAAAAGAGATTAACAGGTAAGAGATTGAAAGCTAGACAATGGCCCAGCGTGCTCGACATTAAATCACTGGTAATTACGAGCAGCGCCACGGGCATTGTCTCCTATGTGCGCCACATTATCAGGCATCTATTCATTACGGCGGCGTAATTG